ACACACACACACACACACACACACACACACGATTTAGTAAGTAGATAACTATGACTAAGTTTTTCCCCATTTCACTTTAAACCACATTGTGCCAGCAGCTGTCGCTGGCGGAAAGGGTTAGGATGGGGGCCTGCCCCTGGGAAGCCACACCCAGGAACCAGAGGCTTGTTATGACCTGAGTCAGTCGATGTGTTTCTGCGGACAGAGTTGATGTTGGAGGAAAAGAAAAAGAACCTAGAATAAAAAGCTATTTACAGAGCAGTCACAAGCCTTCAGAGCTACCCACATTGGTAATATGAATGAACTCCAAAGCTCATGTGCTTACAGGATCGAGAGAGGTGAGAAACCTCGCTTTGGAAGCCAGTTGACATTTGAACCCTATGTGGGAGGGGGAATAGGGGGAAATCTGAAAACTGCCTCTGTTAACGTTCTCTGGAGCCATTTCATCAAGCTCGCAACTCCAGCAGCCCACCTGCTCTCTGCCACCCCCAACACCTCGGGGGTTCTTAACCAGAGCTGCTGGTCCTTTGTACCCTGAAGCTAATTAGGCAACTTCTGGAGATGTGGCTGGCAGCTAGTGGAGAGAGGCCAGGATACTGCAGTGCACAGGTCAGCCTTCTCAATAAGAATGATCCGGTCCTAATGCCAATCTCTCTAGGCAGTGGAAAAGCGCCCCCACCCAGCCCCGATGAGGGCTGCCCCACGTATTTCCAGAAGATGCCATTCTTTGGTTAGCTGTCTCGGTCACATTTGCAGCGCAGCATACACGTGCAAGCTTGTAGCTGAAACAAATTCTGCACTTTGCAATGGCAGGGCAAAATATGCCCAAGTGGGAAGCTACAGGACAGCAGGCACAAATGATTGGGTTGGATCCAGAAGCTTTGGCTTGCAGTGAAAACTTCAACCTTAGTCTAAAGAAAAGTCCTGCCTCTTAGATGCAATGAAGGACAGACTCAGAAGCACAGGAAATCAGGGCAGGGGTGGGATGTCTCCCGTGTTCTGTTTCTGCAGGACAGTATCTTAACATTTGCAAGTTGGTCAAGAAAAAGCCCCTTCTCAACACTGGGAGATGAATAAAGCACTGCCTAGCTGATGACATGGTCCCTGGGTGCTATAGCCACGCACATGACGGCCTCCCCACCAGCCCCGCCCACACGTCATCTTCCTTAAACATCTTCCGGAGGAAGCGAGGTACTTACAGGTTCGGTTCCGGGTTCTGTACGTACAAGTGTAGAGACTGCAGGGCCGCCTAGGCCAGGGCCTGAACATCTGGAGCCTTCTCCATGGCAAGGTGTGTGGTAATAGTTGACAAAGGAGCCGCAGGCCATTTGTCACCGCCATCTTCAGCTGGCACGCTTGACCACTTTCCAAAGAACTTGTAAGAACCTAACACCCTAGTGACAGAAGGACAGAGAGGGAAAAGCTGAAAGCAAGCACGACTAAAGATCACGTGGCCACCTCTAAGTAGGACGACCACATTCAGGCTTCTAGAACACACCCTGAGGGCGGGAGGGAGGGGGCACCCTAGAGGAAGTTAATGGATTATCCAGTTTTGCTCCTCAAACTCACTGGTCACTTCGGAGGAGGGGAGTGCCCAGACCGACTGAGTCATGCTCTCGTCTCTCCCTCAGGGCTGGCAAATATTAGAGGCCCAGAGAAAAACCTTTTTAGGTGCAAGAATACAGAGAGTGTTTTGAGGCCAGTTTCCGTGTGTGTGTGTGTGTGTGTGTGTGTGTGTGTGTGTGTAAATGAACTTCTGGAAATTCCACTGAATTGTCTGGGCAGCAGGAAGAAGCCACCAAAGCTTAAGCTCCCTCCAGGCAGACTGAGTAAAAACAATTGACCTGCTTCGAGATTACAGTGAGCAAACAAAATACATCCTGCCAAAACAGTCAGGGGCAAGGCGGAATCTGAGCTCCCTTATAGTTCGGGACTCCTGGCCAGTTTAGTGGTTCTACAGCCCGGGGAAGTAGAGGAGGTAATCCTGACTGAATCTACCAAGCCAGTTCAAACTGAGTACACGCTGTGCACACGCTCAGAGCCTGGCACCTCCCACACCTGTCACACTTCCCAGAATCCTCGGCTGTGTTCTGACCCCACTGTCCTGTCAGTTAGGCTGCAGCTGCCCCATCACCCTTCCTCCAATACAGCGCCATCCATCCCCACCACCCTGCAAACTCCTGAGCCGGTACCATTTCAACGAACACACATGCCAATGGAATTCCCTTTTTCTTGATTACACATCACTGCAACTCTAGAGATCAGAAAGCTTAGCTGGGCAACTTGGAATGAAACCAGGCAACGGGTGGGGGCCATAGTTTGAGTCAGCAGCTGCAGGCCTGAATTCAGGACCATTTGACTCACCCTGTGACCCAGCCCTGCCCAGCTCCCAGTCCTTGTCCCCCTCCCTCCTCTCACCAGCCACAAGGATGTCACTTCTCTCAAGTCCCAAAGCTCTTGGCTCAGGGATGGTGCAGGTATTCTTCATCCACCCAGGCCCCCTCTCCTTCCTCTTGGGCCTGGCTAGCCCTACCCACTGGGCAGGTGACTGGAGTGGCTGTTGTCTACGTTGTCCCAACCACTGTGTTAGGCACTGTGATGCCAACATGAAAGCCCATAGCAAGGAATGATGTTTCAATACCTGCTACGATGTGGATGAGCCTCCCAACATCTTGCAGCTGAATGAAAGATGCCAAATGCTAGAAACCACATTTCTGTGGAATGTACCAGGAGGCTGGTGCCCTGCTCCCCACTCCCTCTCAGGTACCTCCTGCTGGGTAGGTGCTGAGTGCTGTCCCTTCTCCCCTGTGCTGGTTCCCCGGAGCCCCTAAGTCTACACTAGAGGGACAGAAGCTGGACTCCCAGCAGGGAGGCAGTCAGACCTAACAAGGGTGTGTCCTTTGGGAGCAGAATCAGGTGGTCAGCTGGGTGGTCAGTTCCATTACCACTCTTCAAGGTATTGCTCACCAACTGCCTACCAACAAGCCATTAACAGCCTCTCAAAAGGCCATCAACTGCCTCTTGACAAGCTGTCCGCCTGGAAAAGTGCTAGGAGAGGAGGCACAGTAGGCCTGGCTCCACCGCAGGCATCAAGGGACCTGGCAATCAGTTTGAATCTTGGGGTTCCCTACCCCTTTGATCAACTCCCTACCTGAGGTCTTTTGGGCAGGACCACCTAAGGCATGTCTGCATCCCCAGAAGATGTTTGAATTGGCACGGCGATGTTAAAACACTGTTTCAACTCTCTAGGGCTGCTACGCCCAAAATACTTTCAGTGGGTGCTTTAACAAACAAATCTATTCTTTCACAGCTAGGGAGGAGAGGAGCCTGAATTCAAGGCAGAGGCTCTAGGGGAGAGCTTTTTCTTGCTATTGGCTGAGAGAGAGAGATGGGGGTGGATAGGAGGGAATCCTTGTCTCTTTTTAACAACTACAGGCTAACTGTTCCTTGGAGATCTCTCTCTTTGTTGTCCCCAATCTTTCTCTGGGTCTAGGATGGTCTCTGTGAAGGGACCCTGCATCCAAAGGGCATGCTCTGTTGCCAGTTCTTCTTCCGGAGTGCAAGTGAGCTCCCCCCACCAATCTCTGCTCACTTGTTGACTCACATAGCTCAAGAGACCAACTCAAGATATAACCCAACCTTGCAGGTTGCATGTGGCTTCATTCACATCATTGCCGTTATCTTGCATCCAGCCTCATTCACATCCATGGGATGATGGCTTCAGATCACAACCTGCCCGAGCTTGGGGTTAAATGCAAAAGCTAGGACCATAGGAAGCAGTTTTTGCAAATGCCTCCACCACCCCCTCCCTTTTTTCAAACGTCTTAATTTTGTCGTTATTGAACAGTCTTTTTTCACTTATTTAAAATGGGGGTTGTTTGGGATTTGTGCTAAAATGTGTCTAAGCAAACATGTCCATGGTTTGACCTGTCCATCCAGTAATTATGATCAAGTCATCTAACCTTCATGCTTCTGTCTGTTTCCATGGTTTTCATGCCCCATCCCAGAAACTCACTGCCCAGGAACTCCCTTTCAAGGCCCGTGAGCCGCTCACCAGCTCCGCTCCGTCCTGGAAGTCTCTTACTTTTTGGGGTGTTTTTACTTTTTCTTTGGAAGCCAGCATCATCGAGTAACTTCAACTAAACAAGATTCCCTGTGAGGAAATCTGTTTGATTTCTCACCTTCATTCTGTCCTTCCTCTCCCTGACTTCCAGGTCTGAGGCGAAGCAGAGAGTGAGCTATCCAGCACTTACCTAGGGAAAAGCCCTAGGCTAGGTGGAAAGAGGCCAAGGTCATTCTGTCTCCTAGCTCCCACAAGCGTGCAATCCACCTGGTGAAACCATTTACACATGTACTTCTGAATCAAGCTTGGATGCACCTAGATGCGCTTCAGGAAGGGTGGCATGAAGGCCATGAGAGAGACAATTTCAACTGGGGGGCAGGGGAGCCAAGTGGAAGGACAATGGTAAAGACATGGAGGCCGGGGACAAGGGGTCAAGGCCCAAGAGAAGAACAACTGAGGTCCAAGTTAGTCGATAAATAACCCCAGGACCCACACGAAAGGCCAATGCCATTGAGTCCATTCTGACTCAGAACAATCTTATCACTCACTCCCTGCCATCGAGTCAATGCCAACTCATGGTGACCTTATAGGACAGGGTAGAACTGCCCTGGTGAGTTTCTGGGACTGTAACTTATTAGGGGAGTGGAAAGCTCTGTCATTTGTCCCATGGGGGTTTTGAACTGCTGACCTTGCAGTTAACAGCACAGTGCATAACCACTACACCACCAGGGCTTTTTAACAAATGGGAAAAGGCCCCCTTTATTGCTTGCAACCCAACTGAAGAATTTATATTCAACATGAATCAAACCCCTGTTTTTTCATTTCTCTGCTCAGGTCTGACATCACCTGCTCAGGCCATCTTCTCTGGGCCTAGCCACCCTGAGCTGGGTCTGATCAGCTGAGTTAAAGACTCCGTCAAAAAGACACCATCCTTCAGACTGCCCCAGAGATAGATGCCAGCTGTGAGTTGGGGTCCACCCAGCAATCTCGCTTGGGGCAGGCTGGCTGCAAATACATGGTTTCCCTCCGGCCCTTCAGGACCTGCGCTTCCGGCTTTAGAGTCTCTTTGGGCTCCCTAAATCTTGGCCCACTGACTACCAATTCAGCATTCCCTTGTGTCTCTTTGGGATGCCAGCCCTAAGCCAGGGAGTCCCTCCCTGGGCTCGCTCACTTCTGAGATGCTGGTTTCAATAGCGGGAGCTGACCTGCTGGCTGGCTTTAATCCTTCGGGTTCAATAGTTGGCAGCAAAAACTTCCAGGAGTCATGGGACATGCTATAAGTATCATGACCAAAAATGGTCTGGGAGGGATCCCAGGACAGAGCTTTCATGCCCCTGAGGACAGCTTATCCCAATCCTTGATGTCTTTTATCAACCAGGAAGCTCAGAAGCCCACAAGCAACATTTAATCCAGGCACTGGACAATCACTTCATAATGACGTCTGTCCGTCATGGTGGGAGCAAAGGGTGGATGGGCCACAGGTGGGCAGAGTTTCCGAGATGGACTCTTGACGAACACTGACCATAGTTGTCCTGTGTCCTTGGGTTTTCCCAGTATGGTCCTTATCAGCTGCTTTTCAAACTTGTGCGACACATGGAAAAGCTTCTGAAAGCCTGGAAAGAATCAGCCCTCCTGTGTCTTTAAATCCCAGTCATTTGAACTCTGCCAGATTAAGCCATTTACACTTATGCAATACAGACAACAACCACGACAACACTATTGTGAGTAAAGGTTACAATCGCATGGATAAACCCCTCCGTGGTGCTTACCAGATTGCCTTTTTGTTTCCTCACCTCCTGATTTCAAAAGGAAGCCGGCCTCTTACAATTCCCTAAAATTACAAGTAGAGGTTATGTTGTCCCAAGAAAGCGCACCTTCGGTTCCTCTGCCCTCAGCCCCAGGGAGTCCAGTCTGGAGCTGCCAGAAGTTCCTGATCCATGACTAATAGGGCTCTGTGTACTTCCACTCAGCGCCCCCGAGTGGACACAGCCAGGAGGTGCAGCTCCCTCTTCCCACCACCCACGGCCACCACCCACACCCACTCACTGTCATCGAGTCAATTCAGGCCCATAGAACCCTAAAGGACAGGGTAGAACTGCCCCTGTGGGTTTCCAAGACTGTAACTCTTTCTGGGATCAGAAAGCCTCATCTCCCACCAGCAGAGCGGGTGGTGAGTTTGAACTGCTGACTTCGTGGTTAGCAGCCCAACTGGTAACACACAATCCCTTTCAATTTACACACCCTTTATTGTGTCCCACCTGGGAGAACAGGGTAGATGTGCCCAGGCACTGAGCATGGTCAGGGGTGCTTTAGGCCTTCCAGTGAAATCCAGCCCAGCTACTGACTTTAATACAAACCCAGGAAAGGAGGAAAGCCCTAGAAAGTAGATAGGTTTCTTCATTTCTAACACTTGAGAGCAGGTGTGAGGGAGGGAACGCAGGCGGGTGGGTGGCCAGAAGCACTTTGGCTCTTTGTATAGGGTGAGACCGGTGCTGGCTTGGGGCAAGGGCTGGGGTCATTTCCCTTACTCCCTCCCAAGAGGAACTCCTTCGTCATCTTCTAGCATGCCCTCCGCCCCCACCCCACATTTTGTTGAGAATATCCTCTGCTTAACGTACACCAGTTCCACCATCTACATGGACCACTTGGTGACATTGATGACGTTCTTTGAGTGGTGAGACCATT